TGGTGCAAATTTTGAAATTTTTTAGAATGTTCTATTATTGTTTTTAAGAGTTGTTATTGGTTTCTTTGTTTCTACTATCTTGTGTAAATTGGTTTTAAATTATTGTTTGATTTCAAACAAATTTTTGAAAAGGGTTTCTTGGGATCTTGTTTTCTTAAACTATTTTCAAAAATCCTTATATTATGATAACCATATATAAAAAATTTAATTAACTTTGGTTATTGTAATAGCGTCTTGTGTCTTGCATCCTTATGTTTGATAATGTTAGAGTTGACATTATACTATGCACCTTTTTGAGATATCAAAACCTTCATAGTTCGGGTAAAAATGCGTGTCTTCTAGCTAAGATTTTTTAGAAAAAGTATTTATTATTTTTTATAAAATAAATTTTAACGTTGGTTTGTTTTTTAAAATTTATTAAAATATTTTATTTCTTTATTTATGATGAGATTTTAAGAAATAGTTTAGAGGGAAATATTTTGATAAGATTCATGAGGATTTTGTATATCTAGAAATCTATCTTTCAAAACTAAGTTATGTTATTTTTTTTATTTTTAAGAAAACCTTTTATTCTTAAATACCTAAAAAGTCTCACACAGTGAATGATTTCAAAACTATGTACATATGATAATTTATTGCTATGTAGAATAAGTTGATTGATTTATGTACTTATGAGGACTCTAAAAGTCTCACATAGCTAATGGCTTTAAAACTATATAAATGTGATAATTTATCGCTACATATGATTATAAATTAATTAACTTGCAAGCTTGTTAGGACTCTAAAAGTCTTACACAATTAAAACATAAAACATTTTTATTGAAGCACACGTAATTTATTGCCACATGTGAAAAATTAATTAACTTACAAACTTATGAGGAATCTAAAAGTCTCACGCAACAAACAATAAAATCATGATAGGTATAATGATGAACCAATAAACACTTACTTGAGATTTAAATCTTGAAATTTTTTCCTTAGAGCTTCTCATAAATACTTTCTCACATCATGAGATTTCAAATTGTTTTTCACATAAAAAATTCATCAAGGAACCATATTGAAGTCTAAAACTTCCATCACATTATTATGGCATATGGTATGAGAGAAGGAAAATTTAATGAGCAAAACTTAATCCACATATAAAGACAAAAGATAGCTAGAGATGGATCATAATCTTACGCACAATCATATTCAATCACATGGAGACAAAAAAGTTGTAATATAACTAAAGGAGGATGTAGATTAGGATCACAAACAAAGGATTATATTCTTGAAGTATTAAGGGTCATCATTTGGTAACTAAAATATTCAAAGGGGTTTAAGGTGTAAAGTCCCCCTAAAAGAGAGGTGAATTGGGCTAAATAAAATTTTAAGCAAATAATATAAGAATTAAATATAAGTTAGAAATGATGTCACCAAACAAGGTTGAGTGAAGGGAAGAGAAGCTTTTCACAAAGTGTTTATCTTGATTCAGCTCTAATCACTTAAGTCTACATCCAATCTTCAACATACACTTGACATGCTTCACTGTCTCCACTAACATTAAGCCAAGCTCTATGTTTCCACATTATAATTTAGACTTGTAACATCTTAAAAATTAAAATTTTGACAATTGAGTAATTGAGAGTATTTAAGTAGGATTTATGTAGTGTGTGGTCAAAGAAGACTAATAGGTATTTTTGGTTAGAATTTCAAGTATAAATTAGGTCTAAAGTGAAATTGGGTCATTTGGGCGTAAAAAAGTGAAGAAAAATAATAAAAAAGCCTCTGTGTCACATGTCGCGGTGCATGTGTGGTTCGTTGCAGTGCACAAGGCCAAGAGACGTGAGACTGTCTTCTTCATACTACATGCTGTGGTGCACGGTATATGTTTTGCAGAAATAAGTTATGAATTGATGTGAAAAACAAAAGGGAAAGAAAGCAAAAATGGAGGAGCTCGTCTTTACTCTGTCAAGGCACGATTTTGGGGAGGATTAGAGAAGGTTTAAAACTCCTAATCACCTAAGGTAAGGTTTCTAAACCCCTTTCCTCCACCCCTTTCCTCCATTCCTCCATTTTCTCAAAGATTTGAGTTAGGGTTTTAATGTGTATGATGATTTTCAATCCATATAGATTATGGGTTTGAACCCATTGACTCAAATGAAGTTAATGAGAGTTGTTTAGAGTATTTAAATATAGTATTAATGATTTTAAAGGTTGTTGGTTGGTAAATGCCATAAATATCTAAAAATAGTATTTTATGAGGGTTGTTAGAAGAGTTGTAATGCCATTAATTGAGGATTAATGACTCATTAATAATAATGGAAGCTAAAAAGGGTTAATAAACCTAATGGATAAGTCCAAACATAAAAAATATGGGCATTAGATAATCTAGAAGTGGGAAATGAGGGTTAGAAATATGTGTTTGGCATTGTTGATGAGTTGAGAACTTGACTAATTATAGATTGAGCATTTGGGCACCATATTGGCTTAGGAAATTAAGCTTGGAAGCTAAAATATAGAAGGGTCAACTTTTGACGTCTCAAAGGTTTCACCTCTCTAATGGGTAGTTTTTTGTTAATTAATTATAAATTGTAAAATGTGCATGTGTGTATGTATGATATGATTTTGAGCATGGAAGCATGTTGAACTTGATGATTGATTGAATTGTGAGCATGTAATGTTTATTTTGACTTAAAATGTGCTATTGAACTGAAAATGATTTTTAAAGCTAAGAATATGTACAAATTATGGGAAGTGAATTTGTGATGCTATTTGATGTGATGATTTTGTAAAAATAAAGGATTTGATGAAGTCGTAAAGTGAAATATTTTGTGAAAACAATACGGATGTTCACTTAGGTAGCATATTATCGTGAACCCACTGTGCTAATAATGAAATAAATTGATATTGTGAAAAATGAGTGAGCATTGTACATGGCATAATCAATAGGCGGGATTTTGCCTAAGGAGAGGAGTAGATAAAAATCCATATGGTATTTTAGGATGTCTTTTGGTGTGCGAGGGCTTAGCCTTGTCCCATAGTTTGTCAAAGGACAAGAATCTAGCTATTTCCACCAGTTTATCAAGAAAATTAGCTTAGGGTATACGACACTCTCTAAGAGTAGGGGAAGCCGTGGTCCAAAAGTGAGTACTATGATTTTTGGTTAGGTCACACCTCACAATTGGTAAGCTTGGGTTGTCCAGTCACATGAATGAAATCCTATTCAGTGTTATAGCCCACAGTTTCAGTCAAAAGAAATAAAAAGGGTATAAGGATGGTTTGATCATGCATATGTGATTGTATGACGTCACATGATTAGGTTGTGGCAAGTCATGTTAAGATATCGAGTCATGGTCATATGTTTAAGTGCCTTGTGACAATGTATCTTGTGTTTATGATGCAAATGAGTTAACTGGGAAATGATGAGTTATGAACTATATGTTATTGCATGTTTTAAGAAAACTTATTTCATATCTATGTATTTATTTTGATTGATATACAATTGTATAGGGTATGTTTACCTTAGTTACTGAGTGGCTAGACTCAACCCTATTCTTTAATGTTTTACAAGCTTTAACTTCAATACAAAGAGGGATAAAGCTCAAGAGGCTTAAGAATTAGTGTATTCCTATTGTATGCCTCTATGTTTGACTATTTATTTTGTGTAATAGATTAATATTGCCAATTATAGGATGTATTTTATTTACACTTGTACTATAAAGTTGTTTGAAATGTTTGAGTTGTATTTTAGGCCCTAAGTGGTTGTGCATGATAAGTTATATATGTTGATAGGGTTAAAATATTAATGTAAGTGTAAGAATGTTTATTTAATTATATTGTTGAATGCTATTTTGAAAAACAATGCCAAAATTTCCTCCTTTTATTTTTGGTATTATAAGGGTTGAGAAGTAAAATTTTGATATGATAGTAGTCCTAGGTCTAATAGATATGGTCTGGGTGTTAGAAGGACTTTTGGCACTTATGTAGGGTTTTGAATACCCTTATTGTTGTGAAGGTGGAGAAAAAGTGACAAAAATTTGTTTAGGTGTCCAACTTCTTAGTGTAACTTGTTTTGAAAATAAAATCCGTGCCATTAGCTAGTTTATGAAAAGAACTTTATGTAAACATCTAAATCATTTCATTTGAATGTTGGACTGAGAAACGGGGCATGTTGAAAGTTGCCTGAATTTTGCTATTAAATGATAGCGGTATCTACTGTCATGAAAACGTGAACATACAGCAGTGCATAGGGCCTTTGCTGCGATGCGTCATATAGAGAGTGACAAGCTGTAGCGCAAAGAGTGCAAGCCACGACGCATTGCTTTCTTTTTAGTACATTAAGATTTTTTAATTGTTTTCAATTCATTTCATTCATCTGAGATATCTTGTGCCTCCATAACTTAATTTTACTCTAATTAAATGTTAAATAATTGATTTTGACTCATTCAAAACTATGAAAACTTGGAATCCTGACAATTTAAAATTATAAATCTAATGATCTCTTTAAGAGTCAATCTTTTAATTACTATAGATTTGGATGTTAATTCTATTTTAGAGTGAGGAGATTTTACAAGACTTCTCCTTGAAACACTCATTAAAATATCATTAATTCACATGCTACAATCTGTACTTATTAAAATATCAATAATCACAATGCTATTTTCACATCATGCTTCACAATTTGAACTTTAATTATTCATACCATTCCATTTCATTATCAAATAAGCTCATGACCATAAATCACATAATTCAAAACAATCAATACCAACATTCTTCCATATCTACATTATCATTTTCATCATAATCAATAACATAAAACTCAATAAATCTTGTAAAAATTAATTTTTTTACCAACTTCAATATAATTTTCAAAAAAATTATCACAAGTTTCATCTCCCTCCACGTCAGGTCCTGTGTTTGGTTTGGAAGGATTGGGTAGAAAGAATTGGGTGAGGAATTTGGAGGGGAGGGGATACAAGATTTCCCCTCCCATGTTCCCGTCAAATTGGTGTCTTTCAAGGGAGTCAAAGTTTTTGATTAATTTACCCATCTATTTTTATTACATTCCATAATTGCCCGTAGATGAAAAATAAAGAATACAATTGTGCCTCCCCTGCTTCCAGACTCCTACTCGGTGTGCTCGCTATCGCTCCCGCCGTGTGTCGACCCAGCGTCGTCATCTAGCTATTGTGTTTTCATCAATCGTTCTCCGGTGAGTTTCCCTCTGCTCCTTTCGCCGTTGTAATTGCTGAACCTCTGTTTTCCGTCAAGCATCATCTGGGTTATTTTCTTTGCAGACCCATTTCTGTCATTTCCTTATTGCTCGGTTATTTTCTGGGTCATTTGTTCCGATGCATGTTGCTCCGTTGTTAACTCGGTTTTCCGTCAAGCTCGGTTATTTTCTTTAGTTCTCAAGTGGATGGATGGATGTTGCTCCGATGTTAGATGTTGAATGTTGTCTTCATATTTGCGTGTGAAAAAATCATTTGTGCTAGCCATTTGGATCTGATTTCTCTAGTATGATGGATTTTTTTTTTAAGCTCTTGATGTTCTTGCTATGCCGGGTTTGAGGGGCTGATTATGCTCAACTTTCTACTTTCTTGCTTTTCCTACTTCTTTGTACGTTGTCGCTAATTCTTGATCTTAAGTTGGGGAACGAATTATCTTTCATTGCATGTTATATGGCCTCATTACTTATCATTATAAATTTTAGTGTTACAGCTCTGTCCTGAAGGGGTCCCATCTCCCCAAAGAAAGGTCTTATAAATTTTAATGTAGAATCTTCCACTCAACTTAAGTAATCTTTTAGTCCTTCATTAGCATTCATACTGACAATATTCTACACAATATTCATATCCTCTGAACCAAACACACCCTAACTCCTTGCTTTCTCCCCCTCTCACTTCCTCTCTTCCCTGCTATCCTCTTGTATTCATTTCTGTGAAGCCTCCGTTTCTGTCTCTTTATTCATAGAAGTGTAAGTTTATGACCCTGAGGTCAGCTTGATCTTAATTCCATGCAGCGCATTCTACTAATAACTGTCCTTTTATATTTCTGCTTCCTTCAATAAAAAAAGAGTTTGAAATAATTAATGTCGGCTTCATTGTTAGAGGCTAAACCTGGGTGTGCGGTTGCTTATTTTGTCAAAGATCTTTGCACAACTTTTCTCCTCTGGTGGCGATGACATTTCACATTAATTTTGTTATAAACCAAGATGTTTCGGCCATTTAAGTTGTGCAATTGTGCAATTAATTTATGCTTTTTCACTGACTTTAGGTTGTAGGATATAAAGTTCTAGGTCCCACTTTCTGAGGTGATAGAAAATAAGACGATTATTTTATAGAGCTATTGCAGGTTTACCCCTGCTTGTTGATATCATATTGTTTTTGAAGTGTACTAACTAAGCTGAAACACAATGCTCTCAAGTTACGTTAGTTTGAAGGTCAGACACTCATAGCTGTGATCTTTTGTATAAGAACCCTAACTTGCATGAATCAAAATGGCACCTGAGCTTCTGGTTCAATTAACTGAATTTCTGATCCATTTTATATCCTTGCATTTCTCATGTTGTTCTGATTGCCACTTGGGTCACTATTTTCTCAAGCTTAACTGAATGGCTTTTTGATAGATTTAGATGTGTTTTTACCTCTGAAGAGAGCTTACCTGGATAATGGCCTCTGGAGCTATTTTGAAGAGGAGAAGACTTATTGATCATTATGTTAATATCTGTGCACGTTCAATTACAAGTTCTCAGTGGCATGTTATTGCCGTAGAAAATTTGAATCCACATCTTCTTCAAACCTCTTCTTTGAACGTGCCTGCAAATTTCAAGTACATAAAAGATTATGAAAGAATATCATTGCCCAAGGAGGAATCGTTCAACCTCTCTGCACTGGGACAATATAGACAAAGATGCTATGAAATAACAAGATCTTTTCACTCTGATCGTAGATCGGTATCCACTACCTTGATAAGTATCAGATGGTTGTCACAATCTTTGCATAGTTTTTCCACTGCAGCTGCTAAACAACCTGAACCTGGTAGTGATGATGAGAAAAGTGATGAAACGGTTGCTAAGAAGAGGAAAGAAGCATCTCCAGAGGAGTGTGATCAAGCTGTTGAAGGTTTAAGCACTGCAAAAGCTAAAGCAAAGGCAAAACGTTTGCAAGAGCCTCAAAAAGTTTTTCAAACTATTTTAAGGCGATTGTGGGCTGTGATTTTGGGGATTGCTCCTGCTTTCAGAGCTGTAGCATCTATGAGCAGGTTGGGATCCTTCTTTTGGATGGCATCTGTAGCATTATTATCATCCATTGATATGTGATAATGTGGGTTTATGGTCTGTCAATCCTTACTGCAGGGAGGACTGGGCCAAGAAACTTGTCCATTGGAAAGGGGAGTTTGTATCAACGTTGCAACACTACTGGTTGGGTTTCAAGCTGTTGTGGGCAGATGTGAGAATTAGTTCTAGATTGTTGTTGAAACTTGCTGGCGGGAAGAGTCTCTCTAGAAGGGAGAGGCAACAACTGACACGGACCACTGCTGACATTTTTAGGCTAGTTCCTTTTGCAGTTTTCATCATAGTTCCCTTTATGGAATTTTTGCTGCCAGTATTTCTGAAGTTATTCCCCAACATGTTGCCATCAACCTTTCAAGACAAAATGAAAGAACAGGTGCTGATAGTGCTGGGTATAGCAAACTTTGTATGGCATTTGCCTGATTTTTGCAAGTTTTTTGGGGGTTTCTTCATTTGTTGTTTCCTATATCAAAGTTTCCATTGCAAAATATCTGAGTTAGGACTTGAAAAACTATATATGATGACATGAGATAATGTATGTGCATAAATGACAATTGTTTTGGAGTTGTTTTGTCATCTTGACCTTTTCTTCAATACATCACTAGTAGAAATTGGAAATACAAATTTAATAATCATGCCGCTTTAACTGAGGCCTGTCCCCACCACAGTTTTGAAGTGCCATATATAGAAGATAGTTAGGAGGATTTATTTCAAACTGATGCCCAGCTTGCACTAATCTGCATCTCCATATATCAATTTGCATGATCATTGCCAATATATGGTCCACATTCTGTGAAAATGATAGCCACTGATGATGATAATTGATAACCCTGTTTGAAAATTTTCCCCTTAGTGCAATAATGTTAACAATATTTATATTGAGTATTTTCTGGTTTGTATCAATATATGCATTTTGCGCCAATATTTGGAGTTTACATTAGTATTTTATGTCTTTGCGATTGTTTGGGTTTTGCATGATCAGTTTCACAGTGTTTGGTCCATTCACGTGTCCAATGTGTAGGAAGCATTAAAAAGGAGACTCCATGCTAGAATAGAGTATGCAAAGTTCCTCCAAGATACGGTCAAAGAAATGGCAAAAGAAGTTCAAAACTCGCGTAGTGGAGAAATAAAGCGAACAGCCGAAGATCTTGATGAGTTTTTGAACAAGGTCAGAAGCTTAGTTTGGAGAATAATTCATAGCTATTTTGGCCACATATTTCCTGTTTATCTATAACCCTTGTCTACTTTATATTTTTGTGCAGGTTAGAAGAGGTGCCCGTGTCTCTAATGATGAAATTCTGGGCTTTGCTAAGTTGTTTAATGATGAACTTACTCTAGATAATATTAGCAGGTGGATTTCACAACTTCTGTTTGATTTTAACTTGCTGTATTTTTAAATTGTGAGGTGGTATGATGAAATCTACTGGCTTTCTACTGTTCTTAGGCCACGGTTGGTCAATATGTGCAAGTACATGGGAATCAGCCCTTTTGGCACTGATGCATACTTGCGTTACATGCTACGAAAACGCCTACAGAGGTAATAATTATCTACTCATATTATAAGCAATTCGTGCGTGCATATGAATTTGGTCTCTCCCTCAATAGCTTCTGTGGCCTCTTGAAACAAAGTAGATCAAATGGGAAATGATATACCATAGAGCTGGCTCATGCCTTTAACTTTTAACTAATGCATGACCTTATTTGAGCTTTCACACATTCAATTGTTGAAGTAAAAATGGGCGAATTTTTTTTAATTTGGAATTTTTATATATCTAGCTTTATAGAACACTAGGCTCATGGCATTTTTTTCCCTGAATGAATATTTCCTTTTTGCCACCTTTCTTTGTCATTTTATTGTACATACTTCATAAGCCATCTATTTTTAACTATGGATTGGGGATGAAACAGCTGAGGTATGAGACTTAAACTTTACTAACTTCAGCCCTAAAATTTATAGAAGAAATCTAGAGTTTGTCATGCGGGGCTTGTTCCTGCTCTTGTATCTTGGTCATGTTTGTTTGGAACATATTGCTGCAAACTGTGTATTGTATTTCACAATATTTAGCTTCTGGCAGTTTAAAATTATTATTAGAATTTTAATTGACAACAAGAATGCATCAGAATAGTTCACTATTTTACCTTCTTCAGTGTTGATGTTCAGTTGGAGTGAAAATCCATGAGCCCCATATTAGTATGTGTCACATGCAACTTGTTCTTTTCTTTTCTTTTTGTTTTTGGATTAGGATTAAGGAAGATGATATGTTAATTCAAGCAGAAGGTGTGGATTCTCTTTCAGAAGCTGAACTTCGTGAAGATTGTAGAGAGCGAGGCATGCTTGGGTTGCTTTCTGTTGAAGAAATGCGCCAGCAGGTTTTTTGTTATGAAAAATTTGTGCTTCCTTTTTGATGAATATAAACCTCACTATTAAATTGTTATTATTCTCATGTAGCTTCAGGATTGGTTGGATTTATCACTGAATCACTCTGTACCATCATCTCTTTTGATACTTTCTAGGTAATTTCAAGGCTTCCCCACCAAAAGGAAATGATAATTAGTAAAACTCTACTAAGTATATGCATGCTGAGGTCTTGCATAATACTCTTTACAGGGCATTTACCGTGTCTGGGAGGTTGAAGCCAGAAGAAGCTGTTCAGGCTACGCTTTCTTCTCTTCCAGATGAAGTGGTAGATACTGTTGGTGTTATTTCTTTACCCTCTGGGGATTCAGTCTCAGAGAGGAGGAGGAAATTGGAGTTCCTTGAAATGCAGGAAGAACTTATTAAGGTGCATATGAGACTTTTTTGTTCCTTGCACTTGTTTGATTTGAAGCTTCAATTGTTGCATTAGAATATCAGCATTTCTCTGTTTGCTCAGTTACTGATATTGCATTTATTCATCTGTCAGTAATGAAAAATTCTTTTAAGATACAGAATTATTGTCTGATTCTAATGAATTATTATTTACTAATTAACAATTTATAATTAGGTTAAAACCTTTAGTTTCCAATGTTTCTCTAATTAATCTGTCTGTAATGAATGAAAAAAATATGGAGCATCTAAGGTACAGAAGCATTGTCTAACACTAATAAATTAGGTTAAAACCCCAGTTTTACCATTTGAAACGAACAGATTTCCCATAAGGTCTTTTTCTAGGTTTAACTTTGTCTTGAACAAATATGATTTTTCAACAATGTAGGAGGAGGAAGAAAGAGAAGAGGTGGAGCAGGCAAAAATGGAGTCCAAATCTGGTCAAGACAATATGGCCTTGAAAGAGATTAATATTTCCACAGCTTTGGAAGCACAACAACTTGCTAGAGCCAAGGCATTGGAAAAGCAAGAGCAGCTGTGTGAAATCAGTCGCGCGTTGGCTGTTTTAGCTTCTGCATCTGTGAGGATTTGTGTTCAAAAGCTGTTGATTGTCTTAGCACGGCTAACTGCATTTTCTCGTCTATGAAACATGATTATATTCTTATATGTTCTTCTTTCATTCTGATGGCAGTCAGTTAGTAGAGAGCGAGAAGAATTTCTGAGGCTTGTTAATAAAGAGGTATGGTGGAACATATATTATTTATTTGTTTTTACGTCTTTCACACCCTGCCCTCAATATTCTTTTTCCTTTTTCTTGTATTTGCTGGGTATGCTGAAATTTCCACATGATTTGAGCAGCAAGTTCAAGTGAGAAAACTTGTGAGTTCAGAGTTTCAAGAAAAGCTTGAGTTGTAAAGTGGTGGAATTGAATGGTTCTTTCTATATAAGTGGTATATATACAAGCAACCTTCTTATCCTCTTAGCCATTTCCTCTCACAAGATGTAAGCACTTCGCTGAGAATGTGAAAGTCCTTCCTTCAAAAGATTCTTCTTGAAAATCTCTCACTTCTCACCCTTTAATTGCTACCACCTAACCCTTAGGTTTAAAATTTGTTAGCACCTTTGGTTTTTTAGTCTTGATATGCACATCAAGGTCAAGGACCCTATGTTGTGTTCTCACACTATTCCTAGGATGCTCTTTGCAATTTTTACAAAGTTACCTATTCGTGTTCCTTTTCAAAAAGAAGTCAATCTACAACCTTGAGTCTTCTCTTTTGTAAGTGATTAGATTAGATGTTCATCCCTCTTCTTAGAGCAAGTGTTGACAATCTAGAGATTATATGCCAAAGAGAAATCATGACTAGATTGTTTACTGTTAAGCTCCTTAAAATCAAAACCACCATGAGTCCTTGTGTAATGACTTGTCACCTTATTGACATGACCATTAAGGTCTCCTCCAATGAACAATTACTCATCTTGTTGCATGCTTTGAACCAACCTCTCCAAGTATTCCCAAAACTTTTCCTTAAGATGTGGTTCTTCCCTTACTTGAAGTGCATAAGTTCTAATGATGTAGATAGTATCACGTCTAACAATCATTCTTTAGGATATGATTTGTCCTCAATCTTTTTAACTTCTACCAACCTCATTCCTTGAATTTACTGTCATTGTGTATTAAAGTTTGAAAGCTCCAAGTTCCTTAGCTTTTTCACCAAGCCATCTAGCTTCTTGAAGGCACAAGATGTTAATTTTTCTCTGTTTCATAACTCCTATCACCTCCATAGGTTTGCAAGATAAGGTCCCAATATTCCAAGCACTGAATTTGATCTTGCTCACATGGACTAACTTCTTTACCTGTATCTGTCCAAAATAATGCGGGAATCCTTGCTCAATTAACACTATATCTGGCCGTTGATGCAATGGCTCTCGCTCACTTGTCATTATACTTGAGACATATAGGACGTTGCTTAAGGGCAACAACCTAGCATTAGCACAAAAACATCTATTATCTAGAATAATGGACTTCGATAGATTATGTCTCACAATTATATTCATACAGTGTCTTTGAAAATTCTTTGGTTAAGTAGGATGGCAACCTATCTATTTGAAAATTTGTAATTAAATGTAGTCCATTTGAAAGTTTGAATCTATATCCATATGACCCTCCTGAACTTATTTCATACTTTTGTTTTGTATGGCTCTAGATAGAACTTTATAACAGCATGGTAGGAAAAGATGGTACAACTGATGGAAAAGATGCCTTGAAGGCATATAAAGCTGCACGAGAGGAACATGAGCATGCTACGGAGTTGGATGAACGGGATGAGGTGTCCTCGGCACTCATAGAAAAAGTAATGTCCACTTATCATTTATTGTCTTGAAAAAATGTTAAACCAACTGTTCCTTTTTTTCTAATTGACAAAATCCCTTCAGGTTGATGCTATGCTTCAAAATCTTGAGAAGGAAATAGATGATGTTGATGCAAAAATAGGTGATCGTTGGAGACTGCTTGATAGGTTTGTACTTGTCCTTTGACTATGCCCCTTTTGTTGGTTGCTTTTGTCTAAACCAAAAACTTGATCAACGTGTGAGAGTTCACATGGTTATACTCACTTAGCTTGACAATTCTTATTAATCTTGCAAATAGCCCAGTTTTCAATTTTGTATTACTACAAGTGTGGATAACGCACTAGCTAACTGGAGGCTTAGGGGCCTAAATGAACTGAGAACTGACTATTTGAGTTTGGCTCAATAAATCTTACTTGTAAATGAGAAAGTTTGATCAACCTATTAAATTTCATTTAGTTAAATAAGCCAATCTTGAAAATTTGATGTTCAACTCATTAACTCACAGATAATTGGGTCATAATGAGTCATATATATTATTTATATATGACTTTATAAAATATTATGTCTAATATTGTGATAATTTATGCATAATTAGAACATTATAGTGTTTTTGAGAGTATAAAGTCACACACGCGTGTATATCCTTAAAAGTATATATATTATATTTATTGTACTATTTCTGAACTGTAAGGGCTTAGATCATTTAAGAAACTAAGCAATTTGGACTAGATCTATTCTAAATGAATAAACTTGAGCATACTAAAGTTTGTCCCAGCTCAATTATAGCTTAGCCCTACATTAGTTGCATGAAAATTGATTTATTTAAAATAATGGAAGTAGCATGAAACTTTTGATAATATAGTCATGAAGACTCTGATATTATGTGTTCTTTTTTCTCTTTTTATTGACATAATCAACCAAGTGGTGTTTCCTCCACTAAGGCCATAATCACAAATGACACTGGTTTCCTGTGCTCATTGTAGGAACATGTAGTGATTCTTGAATATGTGTTTCTCATTGTAGTCAAAGGTTGTCTCTGTAATTTCATTGCCATTGTTTATATCACAAACTTTGCAGTCTTTTTTGAGACTATTGCATGATTTCTTTTTCTGTTTTTTTTTCCTAATTCTGTTTTCTTTCCACTTATCCCACTCAATTGTTTCTGGTGGTCACGATAGATTTACAACTCATCTGTATTTTTGACTTTCTAAATCAGTTCCTGTTACTTTAGAAAGTTACACTATTTTTAGTAAAAACTGAGAAACATGTTTGTCATAGAACAAAAGGGGTTTAATGTTCAAAACGATCATTTGCTTGCTTGAGGGAGGGATTCTAATTTCTACTTTAAAGATCTTCGAAGGAGGAGAATTTGACTCTTTTCAGTCTTACGAGTGCTGAATTTCAGTTCAGAGTTCCTCCTCTTCATTTCATGTCTCTAGGATTCTTGTAGAATTTTTCCACCACTCTAACAAGAATTTTTAGCCTCTATTTATGGAAAAAATTAGAAACTTTTGACAAGGTGATTTGCATTTTGCTATAAGTTCTCTTCATCATACTAGAAAAGAAGTATTTATATCCTTTTTCCTTGAGAGAAAATCTTTCTATTCTCACCAGCTTAGCTTATCCAATGATGTGACCGTGAGATATGGTCAGACTTATAAGAGGAGATCAAGGGGGCAGTTGGGTGTAGAAAGGAAATACCCATTGGGTTAGGATTAATATCTTGAGGGTCCAGAAAAGAAGGATTATGCCATGATGTTTTGGTAGGGTGGCTTAGATTTAGTCTCGATATTGAAGTCACCTTTTTGCTTGCTTTATTTGGCTGTATTATTTTTGTTGGCACTCAAGGATGTTTTAGAGAAGTTAGACAGAAGTGAGGAGAGTGCTGGTCTCTCGAACACCAGTGAGAGACCTTTTCTTGTTGCTGTGTTCTTCCATTTAGTTTGTAATTTTAGTTGTTGGGAATAGGGTTTTGGCTAGAATCAGTGAGTTTCTCTTGTAACACTGATTCAGTTCATATGCGTTAATATCAAAAACCTCAAAATTTCCCTCATTTATTTCTCTTTGCATTGAAAGCTTGGTTCTATTAGTTACTTTAGAGCGGAGCTCTAACAATTGGCATCAGAGCCGTGCAATCCTCGGACCTTCTGATAAGCGCAAGAGAGATGGCCGAAAGAGTGCAGTACTCCAATCCCGAGGTACAAGAGTTGAAAGAATCTGTTGGAGGACTATCGAAAGAAATGATCATGATGAAGGAGATGATGCAGACGATGCAAGATAAATTAGAGCAAATAGCAGAGAAACAGAAAAGTGCAGACCAACCTCCTGAACAAGATCAACCTAGCCATGAAGAGACTACAGGAAGCATCGGAGATCATGAAAAAGAAGTAGGGAAGTACAGGAAGCTGGAGTTACCAATATTTGATGGAGAAGACCCTATCGGGTGGCTTTTCAGAGTGGAAAGGTATTTTCAAATCAATGCTGTGGCTGAAATGGAGAGACTGGAAGCAGCCATCATGTGCCTTGAAGGTAAGGCTCTTAACTGGTATCAATGGGTGGAAACTCGAGCACCTATCCGAGAATGGTCAGAGTTCAAGCAAGAACTTCTGCGTCGATTCCATCCCTCACAGCTTGGGGATGAATATGAGATGATGTTTGCAGTGAAACAGGAGCGTTCTGTGCGCGAGTATGTGGAGGAGTTCGAACGCGTATCAGCTATGGTGGGAGACGCATCAGAATCGTGTGTGGTTGGAGCATTTTGTGTAGGACTAAAACCAGAGATAAGGGCTGAATTAAAGCTCACGGCCGCCAGTACCCTTAGAGAAATTATGGAGATGTCTATTAGGGTGGATGAGAGGAATCAGGTAATAGAGAAGGCCAAAGACTCACGGTTTCTGCGAGGCCAGCGTTTTCAAAGTGGGCTTAAAAATGAATCAGCCCAAACTCCTTTCACACGGATCACTCATGTGGCTGAGCCCAGTAAAAGCATGCACACCTCTTCAATACACTCGGGACTCCAGAAACGGGCTGAGACAAAAACGGCAGACTCAAAAGTAGCGAGCAACACGACAGGAACAGCGTCGTCGCGTCCAGGGGGACGAACCCAACGACTGTCAGACGTGGAATTAACTCGTCGGCGAGAGCTTGGTTTGTGTTTCAAATGTGCAGATAAATTCGGACCTAATCACATCTGCAAAAATAAAAATCTGCAAGTGATGTTGCTGGAGCTAGAGCCCGAGAAGGGAACCGAAGGCCATGAACCAATATGCACTGAAGATAGTGAAGAAGCCAAAGAAGATGAAACTTGAATGGAGTTATCACTAAACTCCATAGTTGGGTTTGGAGGGAATCACACTATGAAGGTACGTGGGAGACTAGAGAAAGCCGAGATTGTGATTTTGATTGATAGTGGGCCTACCCACAACTTCATAGCTGAGGAATTAGTCACCAAAATAAAAATTCCAGTAGAGGACATTGCCGTCTATTCTATCACTGTTGGGGATGGGTTTAGTATTAAAGGGAAGCAACGCTGCAATGACCTCAAGTTACAGGTACAAGGCCTGGACATTATTCAAACTTTCTACCCCTTTCCACTCAGTGGCGTGGATGTTGTACTAGGAGTTGAATGGTTAAAATCTTTAGGAGAAGTGACGGTTAACTGGGGGCAACTGACCATGAAGATTGGTAAGAAAGGAAACAAGGTGTGTTTACAAGGTGATCCTGCTCTAACCAAGGCCTTGGTTTCCCTTAAGTCATTTATTCGATCCGTACAGAAGAGAGGGGAGGGGTACATGATCGAATATAATGGGATGAATAATGAAGAAACAACAGCTGAAACTATACAATTGGCGCCTGAAATTCAGAACCTCCTGGACCAATTCTCTATAGTTTGTCGACCTTTTGAAGGGTTACCACCAACTCATTCTCATGATCATGCAATAGCAACCAAACCAGGCGAACAACCTCCTAACATACGGCCGTATCGGTACCCTCATGTTCAAAAAAATGAAATTGAGAAGATGGTGAAAGATATGTTGAGAGCAGGTATCATTCAGCCCAGTCAAAGTCCTTATTCAAGTCCAATTTTGTTGGTTAAGAAAAAAGATGGAAGCTGGAGATTCTGTGTGGACTATAGAGCTTTGAACAAAATCACGGTGCCTGACAAGTTTCCCATACCGGCTATAGATGAGTTGTTGGATGAGTTAAAAGGAGCCGCCATCTTCACCAAGCTGGATTTGAAGTCCGGATACCATCAGATCAGAATCATGGCTGGAGATGAACATAAAACAGCATTTAGAACCCACGAGGGACATTATGAATTCAAGGTAATGCCTTTTGGTTTAACCAATGCTCCTTCCACATTCCAATCTTTAATGAATGAGATATTCCGAGAGCATCTTCGGAAATTTGTACTTGTATTTTTTGATGACATACTTATTTATAGCCATGATTTAACATCTCACTTGAAACATTTGAAAGCTGTTTTGTCTATCCTGAAAGAGAACCAGCTAGTGATCGACCTTAAGAAGTGCACTTTCGCCCAACCAAAAATTGAATATCTTGGGCATATCATTTCCAAGGAGGGAGTGCAAGCGGATCCCAGCAAAATTGAGAGTATGGTGCAGTGGCCTAAACCCAAGAATGTGAAATCCTTAAGAGGGTTCCTAGGGTTGACAGGGTATTATAGAAGATTTGTCAAGAATTATGGAAAAATCGCTAGTCCTCTCACCGATTTACTTAAGAAAGATGCCTTTAAATGGACCCCAAAAGCTGAAGAAGCCTTCCAAAGTCTCAAGACAGCCATGACTTCTCTCCCAGTACTAGCTATGCCTGATTTTTCCATCCCGTTTGAGTTGGAAACAGACGCTTCCGGGTCTAGAATAGGAGCAGTGCTGATGCAGAATGGCCGTCCAGTGGCATATTTCAGCCAAAAGCTCTCTAACCGCGCTCAACAATGTTCCATTTATGAGAGGGAACTTATGGCAATTGTTATGGCGGTCAAGAAATGGCGACACTACTTATGGGGGGAGAAATTTGTCATCCGGACAGATCAGAAAGCTTTGAAGTTTCTGCTGGAACAGAGAATTGTAGAAGAAAGTCAACAGCACTGGATCACTAAATTAATGGGGTTCAAGTTTGAAATAGCTTACAAACCGGGCAAGGAAAA